TTCCGCCGCCACGGAGACGGAGCCGGTGCCAACCTATATAGGCAGGAATGGGTTAGCTTCTCTCGAACGCAGATTTGTTCCACGCTCATCGCCGAAGAATCAAATGCTAAGAGATGGAGTATTGTTGTGGACATGAAGATGTATACACAATGAGGGAACTTATGCGAAGTGGTTTTATGAAATGCTGTGGAAGTTCGACTAGGGACTCGCGGGGATACACGCACCGGAATCAGACAGAAGTCGGCGTAGCACCGCTCGGGCGTCGCGATGTGCGTGTATTCCATTATTTGCTTATGTCTGTCGGCAGTACGGGGGGGTCTTTCAAGTAGGATTAATGTAAGTTAGGTAAGGATGGATCAGATAAGCAATTCAGCAACTGAGGTCAACGGAGCTCCAAAACCCCACCACCGGCCCGGGTGACAATCGGTGATCCACGCCCAACGCAAGGATAGTCTAAGTCTCTTAGGTAGGCTATCAGTCAGAGAACACATGACATGTTTGCAGATTTGATAGGTTCACATTTGTATCTGTAGCCCAGATTTTCTATTTTCTAACTAAGGCTTTCTATATATCTAAGTTAACCTATCTAGTAGGCAACGTGTTGTAGTATTTCCATGGCAGCCTTCAATGGCTTTTTAAGTAGTATGAAGATGTGCACTGTTGTGACATGTGACAACTGAGTACATGATTTGTCGATGAATTCGACCAAAAAGCAAAACGCCATCGCTATGCAACCAATCCCGACCAAAATGGATCCTTTTTTAACTTTCCAACTCCGGAAGATCAAACTCGGATTATCCCGTCTCGCAAAAAACCAGTTTATGCAAGTAATAATGCTGCTACGAAGAACGCAACTAATGCGCCCGTACCCATGCCGGTAGCGCCACGCCCGCGTTTTGCCTCGTTCTCCGCAGTTTCGATCTCAGTCGCGCTGCTATTCTTGCGCCCAACAGGGTTGGTGATGCCGTTCATCAGATCCGCGGTCTTTATGGAAGGACCCTCACTAAAGAAATCTACCAGGATAAACGTGGGCTTGAAACCCCACTGGGAGAGGCAGGTTTGAGCATGCAAACCCAAGGCTCCAGTAGTCGTCGTAGACGGGCTGTTGGTCGTTGCGATGTCGTCGATGTCTGGGATTGTGATAGAGGAGCCCAGATCCTTGTCTGCAAAGTGGTTCATGAGCGGAAGAAGACCTGCTTGGAGCGCGGAAGCTGCCGATGATTGCGACTTGGGCCGGTCTATTGTGCAATTGAACCCCGATAGTGATGTGACTTCGAACGCAGTCTCGAAAACGTAGTCGAACTCGGTAAGTAGATATGGGTAAGTGCTGCTGGGGGTGATGGATGCGATAAATGTCACGAGGCGTGTGTTGGCAGTGATCATGGTTTGTAAGGTCGGCCATCCATTGCCCGATGGCGTGTATCCATACTTTGAGATGCCTGTTGACTCGAACATGGACCCGAATTCCTTGACATCGTTGCCATCTGAGTTGACAATCAGAAGCGTCACCACCTCGTTCGGATTGTTGTCCATCCAGAATTTAATATCTCCGAGCCAACTCTGCAGGGGGCCGGCATCGAGTAAGTCACATGTTGTGTGACACATTTCGATGGTTCCATTGAGATCGTGGACTTGTACCTGCAAGAGCCGTAGGCCAGCGTCCAATGCGACGGTTGCGTTAAAGTACTGGTTACCGGCAACCGAATTCTGTGTGCTCGCGTCACGAAGGAAGGACGAATCATGGGCGCCCATGTGAGTAACGTTACTATATGAGCGGCTGCAAAGGTCTGGCGAATTGTTGCAAGCTACCCCTGATGTCGAGCTCGATGTGGCCCCAGAGGTAGCGAGAGGCGTTGCCGTCGTTATCGTGGATGCAACATTACTGCCTTGTGGTGATGAATAGGCCGTGCTCGCCAGAGTCGCCAGCGTTGCTATGTACGCGCATAACGAGGAAACCATTTTGATTGAGGAAATAAAAATAAGAGCTTAGGATAGCTACCTACCTAATGTATGCTTATTGTAAAAAAATGAAGAGAAGCAGAAGCAATGAAATGATTAAGCGAGAGGAATGGAAAAACAATTCAACTATGCGTCCTTAAGGGAGTGCTTAGGCAGTTTGAAGCAGAAAGAAAGTCAGCAACACGCGGTACAGCTTGCAGATAGGGTACGTAATGAATGTTCCAGCCAAAACTCCTGAGGTGCCAGACCCCGACCATGCATATGGTGATCGACAGGGTCTCCTGCAGCTTGGCCGTGGCTGGTGGCTGGTGGCGGCGTGTTCTGTGGGGCATGTCCGAACTAAGTGGGCGGACGACTGCGCCTCTCTCTCCACGTCAGCCCGCAGCTGGACGAAGATGAAACTAGTAAACGCGCGTTCCGTTGCCCGGCTTGTTTCAAGGAAGTATCATGGCATAGGTAATTCATCGGTTTTCGTGTTATTCAAGAAAGAGGGGGACCGGCTAGTATGAAAAATGTTTATTGGTGGCCATGACCTCATTGCCGAAGCGATGCTATTATACAGTAGGTAGCCCTTGGTGACTGTATCTAAATGCGGCTTGCAATTACCGTACACAAGCGGCATTCCAAGGCCGTGCTAACGGAAACACGAGAGAGCCCCACTAATTTCAAAGGGATGCAGCCACACCACACAGCCCCTGAACGAATGAGACAACTCCTATTTTTGGCGATAGAACGATCGTGTCTTTGCGGAAGCTGGGCTGCTTAAATATATAGAATCGAATATCGTACTGGTGGCACGGTTGAGCCAACAAGCCGGCAAGGCTGTCTCAAGAACGGTATGGCACAGCTGCTACCGAACTTACGCCTCGATGTAAAGCCGAAGCCATATTTTGATGTATTTCATTACTACAATGGCGCCTCCTCGGCCAGTCTTGTCAGGACCAAAAAATCAGTTCAACGACAAAACTCCCAACACTGTTTGGGAGTTATTTTTACTCGGGATCGCCGATAGACGACGCGTCCATCGCGGCCTGTTCTTCCATTTCCTTGATCTTCTGTTTGCCTTCTTCAGTTGTGGCGTCTATTATTTGCTCCTCTAAGCTAAGTATGCCAGCCTGCATGATAATTAGCAATTGGCGAATAAGCAGACAGATTAATGACGATATAGCTTATGACATGTCTTCTTACCTCGCTCAACAGACCAACAACTTCCTCAGCCTCGGGGACCTTCATCTTACCAAGGACCTCGTTGACTTTGTCCAGACTACCAGTTTCTAGCGCCTTTCGCATGTCTGGTGCAAAGCCCTCGAAAATTGCACGTCCGTGCTTCTCGGCTTCATCTTCGCTGTTTTCCGGAGGGATTTGGATCTTGATCTCGGTGCCTGGCTCGACGGCATGAAGTTGAATCTGCTCGACGTCGCCGCCTTCCGTAGCCCGTTGCGCATTGATCTCCGTCGTCCGGTTTTTGATGCGGAAATACGTGTCTTGAACATCTTTGTAGAATACCTCTTGGGCTTGGTGACCTTTTGTAGTGATGCGCTTGAAAAAGAGCGCAACGCCATCTCTGCCCAAATTGCGGCAGTACTGAAGCAGCAATGCTTGATGTATGTAGTTCCTTGCGAGATCATCCTGATTTTGTAGTTGTGCGTCGAAGGCCATGACGAGGATACCGTCGGTCTCCTTCTCAGATAAGATATTAGGATGTGAAGTAATGAACGCATGGCTTTCTCGATACTCAGCGGCCTTAATGTTTGCGAACTTGCGACCATCAGCAGAAGCCTCAATCTCAGCATCGTCGTCATCGTCAGCCGCCGATGTTGCCTTCGATTCCTCAGGCTTGCTTGCGGAGAAGTTGGGGTTTAGAAGTTCGACTTTGCTGCTGTCCTTCTTCTCCCCTGATGTGGAAGGTTCAGACTTTGCAACGTAGGAACTGTCGAATCCTGTATGGATACTCTCACTTGTGATTTTGCGGCCCTCCTCCTTCTCCAGCTCTGCCAGCTTCGCCAAGAGCTGCTTCTGTAGATCCTGCACGTTCTTTAAGTGATTTCCTATCTCCTCAACCATAGCAGTGTAGCGGTTCTCCGGGTTATTTTTATTCAGCGTCTCATTCACTTGGTCTAGTAATGACGCCATCATTTTTGTGTAAGTGGGCGGCTGCTCGACCTGAGCATGGACACCCTCGGGTCGCGCAGGCGGCTTGTCCTCGTCGGGGCTACCCGCAGACTCCATGACGGCTCGGAAAGCCATCTCGGCGAGGTTGGATTCAGCCTCGGCGGCATTGGCTTTGAGAGCGGCCAAAAGCGCGGATATGCGCTTCATCAACCCATCGTTGATCTGGCGCTCGTACTTGAGGGTCTTGATCTGGAGTCGACGCTGTTCGCGCTCGGCGTGGATCTGGGTCTGCTTGGCGCGGATGAAGGATCGCTTATCCACGTTCGGGTGAACCTCGATATCGGAGTCATCGCTGAGCTCTAAATTGTCCTATTCCGAGAAGCATCATAGTGAGTAAGTACGTTGTCATAACCCTTCCCGAGGAACTGACGGCTGGGCGCATAAGACACTCACCCACTTGCTGTAGTCCACAGGCATTTTGGCTTATACCAGGCAGTCCAGGCAGCGCTAGGTTCTAGACAGGTTTCGCAAGCTGGGGTCCCTCAAGGTGTTACCTATACCCATACGAGTACCTATAGAAAGATGTAGTAAGGAAATTGGTTGTATTCTGGCATATTCTAGCTCGTCGTAGATCGGACGAATGACGACTGCGGGGTGTTCGACAAGGAATACCTAATCGACCCAATAATAATAAGTACTGCACATAGTTGTCCTGACCGGACCCCACCGTTGACCCCTCGTTTGCGGTCCGCATCCTTTATCGATTACTCGATGCGCAATATCATTGAAGTGAGGTTGCTATATGTAGGCAGCTAGCACCGTCCCCGGTACCCTACTTCTGGTCGTGCTTGACTCACCTGGCTGCTACTGCTGGGGGGCTCTCGGACAGCTACTTGTAGCTGGCTGTGACTGCAATTAGCTCAATTCGTGCCCGGTTAGCTCAATCGGTAGAGCGTGAGACTCTTAATCTCAAGGTTGCGGGTGAGTAATGGAAAATAAAATAAACGAGCAGAAAAAAAAATACTAACCCTAACAGGTTCGACCCCCGCATCGGGCTCAATTCCTGATGCCTCTCAGATTCACTGGGAGTAGCAACCCAACTTTTTCTTTTCTCTCTCTCTCTTGTCTTTTGAGTCTTCTCATTTCTAATCCTGTTTTTCTTTTTATACTTGCTATCGGAGTTTTGGAGTGCTACAATAAAGGACAGCAAAGTAGCAAAAGTAGTCACTGCATATCTGGTCTTCAAATATCTCTCAATATGAACGGAAACAAAAGGCGCACTACGTAACGTTCATCGTCGACAAGCGAATTCAAATCCTATAGCCCGATGCTTGGGTTTCGACGAACAGAAAATATGCAGGCGGTGCAAGATATGTAGCAAGACTGGATAAAGACGAGAAATGGAATAGATAATAATGAGTATCAAACAAATATGTTCAGTTCTTTACAATTAGTCATTAGTCTGTACTTGCATCCCATTAGTCCTCATACGACCTGCCAAATAGCTTTCTAAAGTTCGGTAAACAATTTAATAATGGAGGTAAACTCATTCTGACATCATGGTAGTCTATATAAATACTTATCTGTAAACGCTACATATTCGCAATTGCGCTCGTGCGGTCTTACGGTGCTCCGCCACAACTGATGACCCTAAGCACCCATGAATCTAGGGGAAATATTGTCATCCCCGTACAGAGGTTCCGGCCGGCATGCCTCTTCAAGCCCTGTACCTGTGGTGGCTAAGTTCAAGCGAAATATTAGAGCGCATGACTGTACGTTGATTACATATCCCTCACTGGGAAAAGCAAATAACCGACAAACTCTCATCGTGCCAGCTGCTCATATATGCAGACCATGCAAACACTTTTCCCTGCAGGTGCTAGTTAATTGCTGGGAATAGTAGTCCCCCACGTACAATTTTGCATCCACGGGAAAAAGAGGAGTCTTTCAACTATAGTATGATACCTTAGCCTGCTTAGGAATGAGTTACAGTCACAACGCGCAACCTATAATAGCTCACGACCAGCCTCTTCGGGAACGACTAATACATTCTTTGTGAGCTTGCAACTTTCGCATGGAAGCCAGCCACTTCGTTCCTCGATACCATCTGTCCTTTAAGCATGTGATCGAGTTTCATGACTCATCTCCACCCAGTTCGTGTCACGAACAATTATAGAAGAATGGAATCGAATCGACAAAATTAAGAATACCACCTTCTGCATGATGAAACTGCAATATTGAACCCTGCGCCTCTGAGGAAGACATGATGCCTATCTGGACGTTTGGTATCAAGCACTGCCTACGTCTGCCTGGTCGTTGGCATAAAGTTTCTCTGTTACTACGTTCGCAATCAATTGTCCAATAGGATCCGACGAGATGCCCGCTTGCGGCGTGCCGGACCGGAGCAATGCAACAATACAGCCCCAGTAACGTGATAACATCTCGATATATAGGTATGGAAAGAAGCATGAATACGCCGTATCATAGTACCTTTCCCTCAAGAAGCTTAAGACTGGTTCCGTGTACACATATATACCCGATGAACAGGTTGGCAGGCCTAGTCCTACCTTGGAGCCTTGAGGCGCTTCAAACGAGCTGAAAAAGAGCTAAGCGATACAACAGTACATTGAATCGCTCAAATAGGAAAGAATCCCAGAATGGAAGCGTGAGCCCACATGGTGATTATGGTTGATTCATCTAACGTCGCTACTTGGCACTGCCTAAACCAGCCTAGTACCATCGTGCTCCGCCATTCGGGTCGACGCCCGAATCATCAGTTCTCCCAGAATCAGCCTTACATAACGTTGAAAGAACGTGCCTGATCGGCCCGTCTCCACAGGCGATGCCTGAAATATTCTGATTTGCCAGAACTTTCAGCTCGTCGGTCGTGAATGTACGGGCAGGAAGGACTGTGCCGTAGTAGTAAGGACCCTCGTCTCCATAATCGAGTCACTTGGGTGACACCTAACCTTAGTATAGGATTAATTAATAGGAATGATGGGAAATTACATCATCGGGGTCTCTTATCTAGCACGTATTGTGATGTTAGTGTAGACCTATACACGAGGACATCGTAGTACCGTTTAAGGGAAAATATTGCCAAGCAGGACTGCTCGGGCTTCGGGGTCGTTGCCATCGACCTGGCCACAAGACCACGAGAGCCTAATTTTATCATTATGAGCTACATAGCCATAGAGTCATGAGAACCCCAACCTGGTTCATCGATGTTTATATAAAGGACGTGGAAGCCCGGAGGCCTCACGTTTGTATAATAGGAATCATCATCGACCACGTTTAACTGAACAATTCAAGTTCTTCTATCACTTAGTCATCTTTCTAGTGCCAGTAGGATCTTCTACAAAACTACACATATTCAATCAAAATGGTTGTGATTCTAGCAGCAGTGTCAGTTGCTCTTGATGGCGGCGGCACTACTCAGGGCCAAGGGAGCTCTGCGTCCGGATCATCGACTGTCAAGAGCGAATCCTCCCCAGCTCCAGCACCACCACCGCCGACAACTAGTTCGTCGTAAGTTGTACCATTATAACCGCTAAATATCTACGACGCTAATCACGCTATTCCAGTTAATATTGGGGTTGGTTGTCCATGGAACGGATGGCCATGATATAATTTTTCGCTTTCGTAAGTCTGGCAAGCTATGCTAAATCACTCTCTGGTCGTTTCTGGTTTCTAATGATTTTTATGCAGGGGAATGGAAATATAACGAAAAGCCGCCAGCAACAGATTCAGATATGTCGATGAGCCTAGACATAAAAGAAAGGAAGGAATCCAAAGGGTTAGATTATCACAGAAAGGAACCAAGCAGGGCATGAATAAAGGGGGAACCACTGGAAATTGTACAATGATAGACTTAGATGGGGCACTCAACTGTGATATCAGATAAGGAGTTATGGGGTCATTTTTTTCATGGTTCTCTTACTTGTTATACGGCGTTAGAATATAGAGACGCGTTCTTTAGACAACGAAGCAAAATCAACTTGGATATTTTATTCAGTTCGTTTCACTCGAGAACAGATTACGTATAAATCTTGCGTGCGGGATAAGCATACGTAATACGAGAAAAGATAACAGAGCCTATTGCTCTAACTGCCTCAGTTTATGCACGGCGCCCCAGAACTCGCAAGATACAAATCGTCCGAGAAGTAGACTGTGACTTTACCATGATCGTCTAAGATCCAGATGATATCGTTCGGCATCAAACCAACCGTCCGTCAGTTCATTAGGGGGTTGGTTATTTACAAATGTTCGTGCGTTCTTGATGACCTCTGTGCCTGACCCATCGAGAGAATGAACGGAGACGTCGCAATAAGCCATGCGGCACGCGCCCTCATAGGCACAAATTCTCGCAACGTGCTCTGGCTTCTCACATAACCACACCGTACCCTCAGCAAGCCCCCCGGCTACGGGCATCAGAACTAGGACTCGTCTCCACATTTTGCTTTCCCAGCCAATCATGCTCGCGTTCTTGCGTAGAATGATGCTATTCACGTTCTCGATCCCGCACACACTCCGTAACTGTTCGGGGACCTGTAGCGGGCCGTAGAAGAAGAAATAGAATGGCTCGAAGGTGGGGATTTCTATGTTCTGAAGTACCGAATTGGCAAGGTAGAAGAGCTCGTTGCCTGTGGCTGTTGTGCGAAAGCCGCGGACGGCAAGGATGGACGCGTTGTGGATATCCGCTTGCTTGCGAGATACGGATGTTGGGTCCTGGGCGTTCGTTGGAAGTAGAGAAACCATGGCGGTTTATGTCCGGTTCGAAAGTTGGCAAGATTTGGCAAGATAATAGTAGGTCAGTTTGAATTTGTAACAGTGCTTGGGGTTGAAAAGTGTTTAGATAGTTATTAGGTGATGAGGATTGAAGTTAGCTGGACAGGTCAAATGGCTGTGCTGGTTGTAAAAAAAGAGTACTATGTACCTGGAAAGCAAGAATGCAGTGAAGAACATATAGTTTGAATTAGTAACTAGTTGCCAATATGATGACAAGACGTTGACTCCTCGTGTCTAAGACGATTGGTGGAAGTCTCTTCCACGTCACTGAGCCCTCAAATCACTATCTTTGCGAATTACAGCAATCTGTTACACAACGAAACAGGGGTAAGAAATCAAAGAAAAGGGACAAAGCTTTATTACCATAGCGTGAGACTTGATGAGTTCCCAAAGAAAGAAACATAGTCCATCGTTTCGCTTAATTTAACATTTCATGGTATAAGTAAAGTATCCAGGTAGAAGATCGTGCTATTGGAAGTTTATCAAATGATATGCTGCAATATTTACCTTTATTACTCCTTGGGTCAATTCGGATTGTATTGACAATAGAGGATGTAATTTTAGAAGGAATAAAGTACAGAACTGCAATGACAATTAAAATAATGCTTCTCAACTTCTGAGTTTTCCTGATTAAGAACCCAGATATCATTTATCAAGTCCCAGGCCTTTACTACGTCAAACCTAACCGAAAGCAAAAATAGGAAGACTTCGATAGCTGTTTGAGGGGCAGCTGTATCAAAAATAAAGTTGTTGTTTAAAAAAACCTTCGTGAAAGCTTGGCACACCCTGTGCGTTATATTATACCGCATTTTTATCACAAGGATGTTGTTGACCGACGGGCTTCTGTCAAACCATGTCATACGAACCGCACTACCAAGACCGAGATGCCGTACATTGTATGCCTCGGCGAGTACCCAATTAGCAATCTATGCTGCAAGCTTAATCGCATCATGGCATCTCACTTTTGACTGAGAAGAAAACTGCTTTAGGGGTACCCAGTGTAGTTCCCTCATGATTACCAGCCAATCTGAGACGGTGCAATCTCTCGGCCGGGAGGGACTCTGACAACCAAAGTAGGTATAAGGTGTTGAGTCAAGCTTTGATGAGTCATTGGACCTTGTTACCCTCTCAAGAGGCGGCTCTCTCGAGCAGGATCTTGTCTCGACATCTAGTAATATCGCCATCTAATTAGCGGCGCCTCTATCGACTGCTAGAAGAAGAAGAAGAAGAAGGGATATATAGAGTGCTTACATGTTGGGAAAACTAGGG